AATTGGAATTTAGTCTAAGATTGTAGACCTCCCGGAAACTAACATCATTTATTTGGTTCCAATGGATAATTTATTGTTAAAAAAGATCTATTTCAGAAAGCTTTTGCAATCCTTGATCATTCTTGAGAAATAAATGTAACGGTAACTAAGCTACATTGTATACATTATAAATTCAAATTATCCAGCATGGACTTCTCTACGGAAATACAGAAAAAATAGGTTTTTTTTTTTTTTCTACTCTGGTTTGAAAATGATATTTCTTTCTTTAAGTAATTCTCATGCTTTCAGCTTACGTATATCTCACAAACTCATTCAATCAAATTTTTTATGTTAATTTGAATTTATAACATATACAATGTAACTAAGAAGAGAATATATTGAAAATATTTGAACAAAGTAACTATAAACAATTTATTTGGTGAGAAGTCTTTGAAGAGATCTTGAGAGAAGTCTTTATCTTGATTGAAAGATCTTGAGTTGTGTAGTCTTTGAAGAGATCTTGAGTTGTGTAGAAGTCTTTGAAGAGATCTTGAGTTGTGGAAGTCTTTGAAAGATCTTGAGTTGTGTAGAAGTCTTTGAAGAGATCTTGAGTTGTGTGAAGTCTTTGAAGAGATCTTGAGTTGTGTAGAAGTCTTTGAGAGAGATCTTTGAGATCTTGAGTTGTAGAAGTCTTTGAAGAGATCTTGAGTTGTGTAGAAGTCTTTTGAAGAGATCTTGAGTTGTGTAGAAGTCTTTGAAGAAGAGTTGTGCAGAAGTCTTTGAAGAGATCTTGAGTTGTGTAGAAGTCTTTGAAGAGATCTTGAGTTGTGAAGTCTTTGAAAGAGATCTTGAGTTGTGTAGAAGTCTTTGAAGAGATCTTGAGTTGTGTAGAAGTCTTTGAAGAGATCTTGAGTTGTGTAGAAGTCTTTGAAGAGATCTTTGAGTTGTGTAGGAAGTCTTTGAAGAGATCTTGAGTTGTGTAGAAGTCTTTGAAGAGATCTTGAGTTGTGTAGAAGTCTTTGAAGAGATCTTGAGTTGTGTAGAAGTCTTTGAAGAGATCTTGAGTTGTGTAGAAGTCTTTGAAGAGATCTTGAGTTGTGTAGAAGTCTTTGAAAGATCTTGAGTTGTTAGAAGTCTTTGAAGAGATCTGAGTTGTGTAGAAGCTCTTCTTTTGAAGAGATCTTGAGTTGTGTTGTAGAAGTCTTTGAAGAGATCTTGAGTTGTGTAGAAGTCTTTGAAGAGATCTTGAGTTGTGTAGAAGTCTTCTTTGAAGAGATCTTGAGTTGTGTAGAAGTCTTTGAAGTCTTTGAAGAGATCTTGAGTTGTGTAGAAGTCTTTGAAGAGATCTTGAGTTGTGTAGAAGAGATCTTGAGTTGTGTAGAAGTCTTTGAAGAGATCTTGAGTTGTGTAGAAGTCTTTTGAAGAGATCTTTGAGTTGTGTAGTCTTTGAAGAGATCTTGAGTTGTCTTTGAAGAAGTCTTTGAAGAGATCTTGAGTTGTGTAGTCTTTGAAGAGATCTTGAGTTGTGTAGAAGTCTTTGAGATCTTGAGTTGTGTCTTAGTTTTGAAGAGATCTTTTGAAGATCTTGAGTTGTGTAGAAGTCTTTGAAGAGATCTTGAGTTGTGTAGAAGTCTTGAAGAGATCTTGAGTCTTTTGATCTTAGAAGTCTTTGAAGAGATCAGAATTGAAGAGATCTTGAGTTGTGTAGAAGTCTTATTTGACTGCCTCTCTCAAAAACAGAATTTCCATTATGTCAACGTGTAACATCAACATAATAATAAACTAGGAGTAATTAATTATTTTTACAATTCAGTAGAAATAGCATAAATTAATAGTTGATTCCCTATCAAGGTTGACAAATGGTGTCACAGCTTTTTATTGTGACAACTGCTTTGGGCCCATGAGGTAGTTGTGGGAGTGATTTTTGCCCAACTACTCACTCACCTACTTTATTCTCTATCATGACATATCAGCAATGCCCTCCTCTCCTAATGATATCAGCCCAGGAAAGAGTGGAATCATGCCTTTTCCAATAGTCATAATACTAAGTGAATACAAGAGACTTCAGCCAAGATTCAAATCTCACACAAGAAGCATTTCTAATTGACATTTTCAAAAATATGGATGAAAGTAATTCCAAAGAAATTTTTTGTTTCTTCAAGACATATGTTATCATGTCTCTCCACAGCTTCTTTTTCTTTAATATCTGTGAATTGCCATCACTGTTCTTGGGGGAAAAAGTAGTGGGGTTTATTTCCAATTGCTTTTTCCATGGTTTGAAATCAGAGTGGTCTTTCTCCATGTCTAATGGATGTCAGTTATCAGTTATCTCCTGTTAATTCCTCAAGGACACGTGGCACAGTGGATAAAGGCATTAGTTAGATCCAGTGACAGGACCCAAAGAGTGTGAGTTCAATACCTGGTTAAGGCAGTGGAGAACTTGGAGAGGTGAATTAACAGGAGATAACTGATAACTGACATACATTAGACATGGAACTAGAACAGTCTACCCCAGTGAGCAAAATAAAGTGTTCAGTTCGACATTACAACTACCTGAAGAAGGCCGGAGTGTACAACGGCCAAAGTGTTGTAATAAATATGGCGACCGAGATGAGGAGAATAGTCTGAATAATGTAAATAGTATGCAACAACGCATTAAACTGTAATAATATAAACCAGGGGTCGGCAACGTTTTGTTAACTATGTAGGGTGCCGACTCCTGGTATAGACGGTCATTGATACAAATGAATGAATACCATATTGTGCATAATATAAAAAAAAATTTTTGAATGAAAATTAAAGCAAAAAAGGTGGGGATTGTATTAAACACAATTAGAAGTTTTCAGAAATTTTTTTTTCAACTTAAAGACTCTTTTATTTGAAACAGCCAGATTGCAATTAAGCAACACACTAGAGAATAAAACACAAAGTAGGCAGGTATTGATAACATTTATTTAGAAAAGGTATTTGATATGTCGGCCATATTTGTTTCTCTCTTCATTCTTAATGAAAGACAAAAAAAATTTTTTTTTTTGTTTATTTATAGAGATACAATAATTATATTAAACAAAAGTATGATAGATTAATTAAATCCTTAGAATGTATTACCAGGCATGTTGAGTTAGCATCTATCCCCAAAAATTTGAAAATAAGTTTTGAAGCGTAATTTAGAAGAAACATGCACTGGCTAAACATTCAGTTAATTTGTATTCTTTAATACAGTGGTCCCAAACTGATTTGGGGCCATGTCCCACTTTGGTATTTCTGCTGCATCACTAACCCTACCACCACTCCTCCCCATAATTAATTCTTACATATTCAAAATTTTGCTGCAATTTACATGAAGGAATCTTAAAAGGCCATGAACTTGGTCTCTAAACAAACCTCCAAAGACCATGACATCTGTGAAAGAGAAAAATTAAAAAAAAATAAAAAGACAGTTAAATATATATAGTTTTAAAACATATAATAGAGAATTGAAAGGCAGAAATATAAAATATTTAAATGAAAGCTTATTCTGTAATATACTTTGATCATTTTAATCATGAAATAAAAATGAAATTTGAGCTCACGTTGGTCAAGTAAACCGAAGGGTACATATCCTACACATGCCCCATCAAATATTACTGCGCCCCACGTTGGGAATCATTGCTTTAATATCAGGAAAAATTAAATACTTTAGTAAATTATATGTACCACATTGAGATTTTTTAGGATAATATGGTACAACTTTTTTCTTTTCTTTTTTTTTTAAAAAATTCGCGTAGGAATGGAATCATATTATACACAAGGATTAATTTATTTCCTCTTTTTAGCTTCAGAAACGTGGGATCATGTTATACTCCATAACAATATGGTATCTGAAATCCTTAACTCTGTAATATTGAAATTTAGATAATATAAATAAGTACATCAATAAATTCATAGTCTAATGATGAAAAAAAAATGGTAGTTATTTGAAATCTTGTTAAAAGAAATTTCTTCATGATTATAATCTAGATTATTCTATAAAAATTTAAGCAATAACTGTTTTATGCTATTGATTTATTGATCTGTTCTCATAGATTCTATGGTGTTGTATGACACTCAAAAAATGAATTTAAAAAAAAAATTACATAGGGATGGCTGTATTACAGAGTCCTGTTATACTCAAGGATGTAATTTATTCCGTTTTTAGCTTCAGTAACTTGCCATCATATTATACTTCAAGTATTCTTCTGTGTGCCATGTCTATTCTGAACATTGGTGATCAAGGCACTCCATAACTTCCTGTCTTTTGTAGCTCTTAGTAAATTTTGTCTTTTTGATATCTCTCCTAATCCCTGTTCTGACAACCATTTAGTCAAGCTCTATGTGCCATGTCCTTTCACAACATTGGTGATCATGGCTCTCCACAGTTTCCTCTCCTTTGTAGCTCTTAGTAAATTTTGTCTTTGCTATCTCTCCTAATCCCTGTTCTGTCAACCATTTAGTCAAGCTCATTGTTCTTCTATGTGTCATGTCCTTTCACAACATTGGTGATCATGGCTCTCCACAGTTTCCTCTTCTTTGTAGCTCTTAATAAGATTTGTCTTTTTGCTATCTCTCCTAAACCCTGTTTTGCCATCCATTTGCACAAGTTCATTCGGTAGTTTATTTACTTCTTTCCTTTGTCCCTCTTGCCTTCAGTATGTACTGTGTGTGTCAAATTCACCAAACCCTCTTTCTTCATTATGTGCCCTAGAAATTTCAACTCTTTCTGATGTTAAGTGACCTCGTTTTAATTTTCTCTAAAACTTTGTTGTTGCTTACATGTTCAATGCATGGTATTCTCAGCATCTTACTGTAAAACTAAGACTTAGCAAAATTGCTTAAATCCAGCCTTTTTTTTTTTTTTCTACATTTCATGTTAACCACTCTTTAGATATTTTTACTTTTAATAATTCAAAAAGCAGAATTGTAATTTAGCTGTGGCAGCCATAATTATTTTGATCAAAATTCTAGCTTAGTTGAGCAGAAAATATCGAAAGATTTTTTTTCAGCTTTCTTTTTCCCTCTACCTCTTCACCTTTCTCTCTCTCTTCACCTTTCTCTCTCTCTTCACCTTTCTCTCTCTCTCTTCACCTTTCTCTCTCTCTTCACCTTTCTCTCTCTCTTCACCTTTCTCTCTCTCTTCACCTTTTCTCTCTCTCTTCACTTAATGAATATAATATATATATATATATAGAAGTTTACATATAAACATGTTTTTGTCAGCTGTTGGATAGTTTTTTTGTTTTTAATGATTTAAAAAGCAGTTACATTTTACTTACCCTAAATTAGAATTATTGCTTAAATATTGCAACAATTTTTAAATTTTTGTTCATATTCAACAAGTGAAAATATAATATATAGCAACACATAACAGTTTTGTGTTAAAATTCTTTTGATATTTTATTTTTAATTTCTAAATGATTCTAAAAAGTGGAATTCCTTCTTAGATTTTGACAAAGTTAATTGTATGATCAAACTGCTAGCTTATGTACATTATTCGGACTATTGTTCTCATCTTTGTGCATAATACCTCATCTCAGAAATATAAACAGATACTGCTAGCTTATGTAACCAAAAAATATGACCATGCAATTTTTTTTTATATACATTTCACGTGAACATTGGATATTATTACCTTTGATAATTTTAAAAGCAGGATTCTTTCTTGTATACAACAATAAAATTAATTGCATACATAAAAATCCTGGATTATTCTTACAGAAAATATAAAACAATGCAATTTTTAAATTACTTAAATATTGGTATTTCATCTTGCATAGCTCAACTGGTATTTAATATGGGATTTTTTTTTTTCATTTTTTTATTTGCAGCTACATAGCTGATTGCCAGATCCCGATAGCTTGCATGACGTTCATGGAGGAACATGGTGAGGCCATTATCAAGAAAAACCTTAGTCGAAATTTCATGTTACACATGGTTAATCTTTTTGACTTCAGTCTGATTGGACCAGACGTGGTTCAGCGCACGATGAGTGTACTGGAAAACCTCAAAGACGAGATGGGTGTGGACTAAAATAAATAAATAAGTAACTAAATAAAATGTTTTAAAATTTAAAGAAAAAATAAACCTAAAAAAAAAAAAAAAAATTAAAAAAAAAAACATTGAGCAAGAGACATTTATTTGCAATGCGTTTCTATAGTAAAGGCCTCTTGCAATGCGTTTCTATAGTAAAGGCCTCTTGCAATGCATTTCTATAGTAAAAGACTACCTACCGACCTACCCCAAGTACCTACATGACTGACTTAAATCACTGCCACCATCCAACATTCTTACTGCTATTGATGCCATCAATGCTGGACTCACACCATCAATACCACTGCCAATTTATATTGAAAGAAAAAATGGAATTAAATTTTTGCCACCATTCTGGGTGGTGGGGTGGGGTGCGGTGCCTATTTTTATGGCGAACTCTTAAAAAAAAATTTTTTTTTATATATTGTTATCAAATATGAAGGATTGGTAACTTTAACATCCTATATATATATATATATATATATATATATATATATATATATATATATATATGCCATCCATCCTCATGTTTCCGCCATTGTTTAAAAAAAAAAAAAAAAGTACTTTTATAAATCTACAATCAGTTGCCTATGATTTTCACTTGTTATATTGTTTTGTCATTTTTGCATATTTTTTTTATCTTGCTTCATCTTACAAAAATGCCTTAGACAGCATAACCAGTCTTTTCAAGGTTCACTTTACCCAAATCTTACCAGAGAAAATTGCCGGCACATGGAATTATAATTTCATCTGATAACATGAAATATTTTTATTAGTTACGATCAACTAGATGCCAGCTTGTAGGCTTTAAATTTAATTAGCTGTAATTAATCACTTGGAACAAAGAATTTTATTTTTATATATCATACAAGCTGCTCAAGCACAATCACTGTTTGCACTGCCTTTGTAGTATGTGATTCATGCTAGGAAATACCAAAGGTCTGAATTTAATGTTCATCAGGAACCTTTGATCTAAGAAGAGTTGATCTGTGGTAACCTCAATATGTACTGGGTTCACTCTCCTAAATATCAAAATAAGCTTTGTGTTTGGCATCACGACAGAATATCACAAGAGTTAAGGTGCATCAAGAGTTGACAAGTGATCTCAAAGGATGTTGCTGGCTGTGTTGAAGGCAGAATTCCTTGCAGGAAGATGATCAAACATTCAAAGGAAGACCTGCAACAACATACCTTCCATTGGCTGAATTAGATGAAGTCCAGAAGCGAATAAGCATTTATTTTATGTATGAAAAATTTAGTATCCTATTCTTAACAGATGTTACTAACGATTTCATTACTATCTGTAAATTGTTTTGAATCACCAATTCCCTGCTGGAGTAAGAAGGCCCAGGAAAAAGAAACTTGTCAACCACTATTCAGTGGTTAGGTTACATGATAATGCAGTTTTAAAAATTTTATGAAAACCAAAACTAAGACATCTCTCATCTCTCTCTCTCTCTCTCTCTCATCTCTCTCTCTCATCTCTCTCTCTCATCTCTCTCTCATCTCTCTCTTTCTCATCTCTCTCTCTCATATCTCTCTACCCCCCCCAATCTATCTATCTTCTGAGTGAATATTGAATATAATATATAAACGTTTACCCATTTTTGTCCACTTTCTTTGGGTAGTTTTTTGTTTTTTATGATTTCACCCAGTTTTGTAGAGAAACTCTTGAAATTCATTACAATGTTTTGCTGTTCTTGAATGTGTATCCAAGTGATTAATGTCGGCCTTCCAACCCTCATTGAAATCTCATCCTCGTCAATATTTCTGGGAAGTGACCTCTTGATAATAATTGGCCTGGGGGAACAATTCCAGCATGTGACACCATGAGGAAGTGTCTGACAACCATACTCCAAGTTGATTCCAAGCCTGTCAGTGAAATTTGGTAGATAGAATTCTTTAGAAGCTGTCGATGGTTGTGCTAGCATGAAGTTACAAGTCATCATGCCCGAGGATTTGAGCATACTGGCCTTGTTCAAACTACTGATAATCTGCCTCTCCCAGAAATTGTAACAAGTCTGCTCAGTATAGTTGCAGTATAAACCATACGTTGGCTCTGTGGCTGTTGAACAAACATGGATATGCCTGATCAGGACAATGATTATCTGGCTACCTTGGCAGGATATGCATACTCAAATACAAGTGGCCAGCCTTACAGATGATGTGTGCTGCCTTAGACCAATGTTTAACCTGTTCATCAGAAACTGATGGTCTCCCAGGACTTTTACACACACCCTCTTGTTGTTTCAAATTTCTTGTTCCAGGCATTGAAGAATTGTAAAGTTGAAGATGCTGCATTCATTTCACTAAATTCAATCACACGCACAAATCCTTGTCAGCTGCATTTGTAAAAAAAATTGCCTCTCTGCTTGCAGAATGCTCACTGGTAATGGAAAACTTGATACTGCCAAACGATTGTTGATGTAGTAAATTTGGAGTTTTTTTTTTTTTTTTTCTTTCTTTAACTGGACATGAGTTTGAACATCGTAAACAGTTTTTTCTTTTTTTCCTGTATAGCCATTTCAAAATCAAACATCTTGGATTTATTTTGATATGTTTGCGTGAATTTATAGAATATTCCATTGCTGGTGTCAGCACTTGGAGCATTGTCGCATATAACATCATGATGTTCAGCCTTGGGAGCACAGTAATACATTCTATGACAAGATTAAACCCGCCAGAGTGTGATAGTGCATTCCGTCACGTACGATGCCTTCTTTTTCCAGATGAAACCCAAGAGCACATTGGTCATTTTTTTTTTATTACTAATCTGAACATTAGTAGAAAGAAACTAAACATTTATATATTTTCTCAGAATTTGTTACATTCCCATCCAAGAACTACATGCAAATTGTCAACATTTCGCCAACTAAAAGCCAAAATTCCTTAGCTTCAAAAACAAATTATGTTGTTGCCTAATAGATCATTGAGTTTTTCATACCATTTTTCAGTGCAATATGGGTTATATGGTAGCACCCATTTCCTCTCCAAACATAAAATTAGTTGTACTGAATAGTCCCTGACTTGGGTGAAGCAGATTCGGGACTTTTTCAAAATTATTACTGTAAAGTGAAACCAAACAAACCTTGGCTGGAGTTTGAACACATTTTTGACTTGATCTGTTTTTCAGGTTGTGAACCATAAGCTAATTTCTCCCTCCCTCCTTTTTTTTTCCTTCTTCTTTTCTTTCCTTTTCTTCTTTTCTTTCCTTTTCTTATTTCCTCCCTCTTTTTAAAGAAATTATTATGCACACACACACTAACTAGTTAATGATCAAATAGGAAATGTTTATCAATCTAACCTGTTCCACTTTTATTATTTTCAATTTTGTTTGGAACCGTTCTCATTGGTCAGTCATGTATCACCTGCATTAAAACTGTAGATAATTTTATATGTATGTAAGTTTATAAAAATTCTAATATCAAATTTATGGCCAAAATCATTCCTGTGTAATGCAAGAGAGAACGTTTGTCCACCTGTAAATTTTACTAATGCCACCTTAATTAAAAATAAGAACATTCTTTAAGGAGAAAATACATTGAATGCTTAATAACATTATTACCAACTATAAACACAAGCCTAAAACATTAAATCAACATCTTTCTTTGAATCAATTCTTAAAGAATCTAACTTACATCTATCTAATACAAAGTGTACATATATAAAACAGCCCCAGATTAACAGAATACCACCCTACTATACCAAGTGATCACACAAAAGTAAAAACATTAGAACTCCTACTAGATAGATACACATACACAATTATGAATACACATTACCATCTGATACCCTCTTAGACATATTAGAATTTTTAGAAACTTATATACATATAGAATTAACTACGGTTTTAATTCACATAATACATGACTGACCAATGAGAATTGATCCAAGCAAAATTGAAAATATTAAAGTTCTGTCTTTTTGTCTGTTTTCTCTCAATCTCTGATGAAGCTTTAATAAAAGTGAAACATGTTGGTTTGATAAACATTTCTAATTTGTTCATCGTTTTATATAATATATATATATATATATATATTGTCCCATGATGATAAAAATGACATAGAATTACCAAATATATTTATTACCTCACTGCTATACAGAAGTTCAACAGATCTAAGATTTTGTTATTTCC